ATACTTTAAACAGGCTCCTTCCACAGCGGAAATGTCAATTACTCATTTAGGCCCAGGCGTTTAATTAATACTTTAAACAGGCTCCTTCCACAGCGGAAATGTCAATTACTCATTTAGGCCCAGGCGTTTAATTAATACTTTAAACAGGCTCCTTCCACAGCGGAAATGTCAATTACTCATTTAGGCCCAGGCGTTTAATTAATACTTTAAACAGGCTCCTTCCACAGCGGAAATGTCAATTACTCATTTAGGCCCAGGCGTTTAATTAATACTTTAAACAGGCTCCTTCCACAGCGGAAATGTCAATTACTCATTTAGGCCCAGGCGTTTAATTAATACTTTAAACAGGCTCCTTCCACAGCGGAAATGTCAATTACTCATTTAGGCCCAGGCGTTTAATTAATACTTTAAACAGGCTCCTTCCACAGCGGAAATGTCAATTACTCATTTAGGCCCAGGCGTTTAATTAATACTTTAAACAGGCTCCTTCCACAGCGGAAATGTCAATTACTCATTTAGGCCCAGGCGTTTAATTAATTCTCGTATTTTTTCATTAAGCGCTTATTTTTGCGGAATAGAAGCCGTCCTTAAATAGAGGCTGTAGTGGTATAGCTCTTCACACTCGGTTGTTTTTTGGGTTGTTTTTTTGTGATATCGCAAAGGGTTACACAAAATACGTTCCTATAGTATCATTGTCAAATTATCTGCTTTCTTCGCATAAAAAAGAATCAAGTTGAATTAACCTCACATAGATGATTCCTTTTGACTCAGCTGACCAACATTAAACATATTTACTTGCTTATTATTGGCCAATTTACTTTGCGCTTGCCCCAGGTTCCTCGAATTAGCCCCCTACAGCCTTGTTTATTTTTGATATTTTGGGATGGGGGCTATTCGAGGGGGCTTATAAAAGGAGGGGCTTATAAAATTATAGTAGACATTAAGAAGACACCAAAAGGATGAATTTTTGTTATAATTCAATGAAACGTCAAAGGCAACCTCAGATAGCAAAAATCAACAAATCGAAAGGGGGCCAATTCGAGGTTTATGGTAGCAGTGGGAGCGGCTTTTTCGATGGGGGGGGGGCAGTTTGAGGATTAAAGGTATTGAAATTTACTGCCAGAAAATGAATGCATTTGCTTTAATACATTTAATATATAATAACTTATCTTTGTACAGGGATTTCTAGTGTATTTTAGGCTTATTTACTTGATGTTTCAAATTTTGATTTTTACTAATATAATTTATTTCTTGTTTCTAGTCAGTCAATTTTGTATTTGTTGAAATCAGCACTGACAAAGGGCTACACTCTTCAAATTTTTAATATGGTTTAAAATTTTTGAAATGGTTTAAATTTTTGAAATGGTTTAAATTTTTGAAATGGTTTAAATGATTGAATGAATAAATAAGCGAATGAAAGAATGAGTGAATGACTGAATGAATGAATGAATGAATGTGTGAATGAATGTGTGAATGAATGAATGAATGAATGAATAAATGAATGAATGAATGAATGAATTAATTAATTAATTAATTAATTAATTAATGATTGAATGAATTAATGAATAAATGAATGAATTAATTAATTAATCAATGATTGAATGAATTTTTGAATGAATGAATGTGTGAATGATAAATGATATATGTGTGAATTTAATTGATTCATATTGATTTTAGACTCTGATGCAACGAAAGGGGAAATCGACAAAGATAACGACAGGTCTTTGGCTTGCGTCGACATGGAGATTGATGACGATGATGAAGGCCTCTGCGAAGGAGATTCGAAGACAAAAAGGGAGCCTGGGGACAATAATGAACAACGTGACGTCATTTCTACAAATGACTCTGTTAATCAGAATCAAGAAATGTCGCACAAGACGCAAAGTTTTGATTCATAGGTAGCGTTTCTTAATTCGTGATTTCGATATGTAAAAATACATTTGTCTCATTATTTGACAATCCTTTTCGATTAACATTAAAAGCAACACGTATCTCAAAGATTTTTTATGAGGCTGAGACTTAAATCTTTATTCTGCTTTTCTGTGCTATATGCAAGGTTTTGTGTGGCCTAATACTGGAAACGTCCGAATTTCCACCTGTGTTTGTTCAAATCAAGCTTCATTTTCATTTTGTTTTCTAAGACCCCGTTTACACTGTCCCGGGACAATTTTGTACCGTTACGGTTCGCAAGTGTTTACACTGTCGCGGTTCCAAATTGTTCCGTTTAGCCGTTCCGTTTACACTGTACCGGTACGACCTTAATTTAATGGTAGAACATTGTTTAGAAGAAGCTGTATTTAGTCAACCACGGCCTTTTTTGCCGCTGAAGTCAACAATCGAATTTTTATTGTGAGTTAAAATGGAGCGGAAGGCCGATTAAAACTTTACTTGGACGAAAGACAAGGTGGCTTTAATTTTCAGTGTTATTTTAGACTACAAAACTGCAAAGTCCAATCAAGGTTTGGACTTGGAAACACTACAAGCCTTTTCTGTGGTCGTCTTTTCTTCAGAATTTCCTTTTCTTCAGAATTTGAGAACGTAGTTACGCCACAATCAAAGCCTCGATTACCTGAAACAGCCATATAAAAGACCTCTTTGTGAATCCGTGACAAAATCGTCTCGGATAGGTGTTTACACTGTCCCGTTCAAAAACGGAACCGTGACGGTACAAAATTCGTTCGCTTTCAAAGCAGGGTCAAAACTGTTCCGGATAGCAGAGCAAAATCGTCACGGTTCCACAGTGCTAGTGTAAACGCAAGGGCGAACCGCAACAGTTTTGTCACGGTTCCAAACTTGCACGGGACAGTGTAAACGGGGTCTAAGTACCAGTAAGCTGCCAGTTTGCATCGATAGCGGACCTTATATACAACATAGTGAATTCTTGCGCTTTAACGCATGATTTAGGCGTTCCAAAGAAGGGGGGGGGGGGGGGGCTTGGTAACCATTTTGAAAAAAAGAGTTTTTCTAAAACAATAGAAAATGTAAAAGAAAAGAATCAGGAGAAAGTTTGGTGCAATATTTATTTATTGATCTTAACTCAAAGAAATCGGGTTGTTATGTTTTCGTTTTGTTTGTTCGTGACATTTATTATACGGATAAATAGATAAATAAAAATGTTTCAATCCCTACATTAATTGTTTGTTGTTGCAAAGATCAGTCATAAACATAAATTCGAACATTCGAGTCATTATTTGAATGCAAATATGGACAGGGCCTTTGGGAAGGGGCTGTAAACAGGCGTCTAGGTGGGCCTCATGAATTAATGAATTTCATTTTCAAGAAAGTGAACAAATGTTAAAAGGTTTTAGAACATTTTGATTTGCAGGGTACAGTTTATCTTCTACCATTATCCCAGGGTAATATTGATAATCACTCATTATCCCGGGGATAGCTAATCTTAACTCATTATCCTCGTGTACTGTTTGCACTGATCTATAAAAAAGCCTGGATCGAGCTTCCCATTGTCTTGAAACACCAAAGTTTGAAGCCCGTTCAAATTCAGGAGGAAGAAGGCCCCAAACAATAGCGGGAAGCCATTCTTCAAAACCAATACTTCAACAGTATGGATACGCGAGAGCTGCAATGCTGTGTGTATGATTGCTGAAAAAGAACAAGGCCAGAGCAGCTAGCTGAAAACATTGCTAGGGGTGACAGAGAAGGCCGTCTCCTCGCATAAGCTGTTTTTGCGCCCTCTTCTCGGATGGCGACACTCGGGTCACATTAGAAGCTCGATCCAGTCTTTTTATAGATCAGTGACTGTTTGTCTTAAACTCGTTATCGCGGGGTAAAGTCTCTCTTACCTCATTATCCCAGAATAAAGTTTATCTTACATCATTATCCCAGGATAAAGTTTATCTTACCTCATTATCCCTGTGTATTACCTCGTCCCATGGTGATTGAGCAGAAATGGTATCATGAAATACTCTGAAACTATATTAGGTAATCTAGAGGGCGTGGTTACAAAAATGTTAACCTTTTCCACAGAAAACTCATCAACACACTTAAATCTATTCTTAATCTATTTTGACAACTTTGTTCGCTTTTAAAAATTTTTGCATCTTAGGATAAAAACTTTGGAACAATCTAAAAAGACGATATGGATATCAGGGACGTCAAAAGTTTCAAATTCGAAAAGGATGTCTTGCTTTAGCACAAAAATGGGCACTTTCCAACTTTTTACAAATGTCACTTCTGAAAAAGGACACCTATCCCAAGCACTGCGGAGTGTTGAGAAAAGATGGGGGTCTAAAAAAGTGGGGGCTAAAACCTTATAAAAAGAGGCTTTACTGGTAGTTTAGTACTATATATTGGGCATTTTTTGCAAAAAGTGAGGGGCTAAAGATCCCCCCAGCCCCCCCCCTGCTCCGCGGTGCCTGTATCCATGGTACTGGCATTCTTTTTCAGGTACCAATCTTTCCAGGAGAAAATACCTTAAAGACTTACTGCTAACAAGTGCCATTGCGCTACGCAAGCATCCCATTATGCATTATCAGACGGTCTGAATTTAATTTGTTTATTCCGTAGAAGTCTATTGCCATTGTTTGGATCATCGCCTGGTCAATTTGCCACGCTCGCGAAGGCTAATTGTCTTCAAAAATAACTTTCTTCGCCAAGCAACTATTGGAAATTTTGTAAAAAAATGTATTGGTAGATGTTGTAGATTTTCAGACAAAAACATGACTACTTTTGCAATGATATTTTGTCCATGGGGTCTCCCCCACGGCCCACCGTAGCGACCCCCCTCTCAGAATATTCCAATGAGATCTCGTTACTCGGTGATAGAGCATACCTGCAAAATATTCTTAACCACGTGTCGAGAATCAAAGATCGCTTTATTTCAACCTGTTTTGCCAATCAAGCTGATTAAACATTTATAAATTACCGACACTAACATGGAGGATCAAAATTCATATAGCACATTTATGTGACGTTGCATTAGGTCACCGCGTTGTACACGCAGCAACCCGCGGGTCTTAAAACAATAGATTCGTCAATGCTGCTCATTAAACAATAGGATAAGAACAATGTCTCGATATTGATTCGTCTAAAGGAGAACGTTTTTAACCAATGAAATCAATGCTGCTTGCATTTCCGGTTAGAGTTGTAGTTCAACGTGAACATAGGTACCTTTAGAATGTCTGGCTGTTTAGGGAATATTGGTGCGAAGATGATTTTTTTAATTCTTGGGTTACTTGCATTTGTCAATGCTGAAGTTGGCAAGCGTCATGTCAGATTTGAATACAAACTTAGTTTTAAAGGGCCACACTTAGTCAACAAGCAAGGAAATATACCATTTTGGAAACATTATGGAAGTAAGTAGACTTATCTATAAATCTTTGTTGTTTTGGGATCTTTAATTTACTCTATTATCAGGCGAAATAGATTCCCGCAATGAAATATTATAGGCCACTGGATAAATAATGCAGGCATTTACTCTTCGTCCAATTATATTTTTCAAGTTATTCTCGAAAGCTCGACCCAAAGTCAACATTAATTGTTTTGGCCTAAATTAAGTCCTTTTTGTTTGCCCCTTGCCCCCAATAATTTCATTAGGTGAAGAGATTTTAGATCTCTTTCCTTCATTTTGTCATATTTTCTAAATAAGTCAGGCGACCATGACTGAGGGGTGTTTTTTCAAGGTTTGGGACTATTGTCAAGAAGTAAACGATATTTTTATATAATGTACTTTTGAACAGGGCAATACAATTGTTGGTAGAACCTGTCATAGGTAGATTTTGAAACATCAGAAATTTATTTTAAAACTCCCTGCGAGGGAAAACACCTGCAATAACGTCAAAATTTCAGTTTAAGTATTTATTATTCAATCATTTCAAAATAATCTCAATTATAAATGAAAATAAAATTGCTGTCGCCCATCTGTTTTTTCGACCACTACTAAAATATTTGACATAGCATACACTCTTTTTTTCATAAGAACAATTGGCAGAAATGCTAAATCTGACATTGCAATAAGAAATTGTTATCATAATAATTTCTTTATTGCATTGTCAGATTGAGCATTTCTGCCAATTGGGAACACAATTTAGATACAGTCTATTGAAAACTTAATCTATAAAAAATAATATATTAAAGTTAAAATTCTGATTTAAAAAAAAGTTACACAGCCTACAATGATAGATAAAGATTGAAAGTTTAGTAGATTAATTCCATATCTCTATGATTTCTAAAGACGAGCTTGGAAGATAATTTAGAAAATAGGCAAAGTTATAGCCAGGTACAGAGATCAGCTAAAAAAAATGTTTTGTCCAAATGAAGTTGGCTATGGGTAATGTTTGGAAAAATATTGACAAAAATTCTGGTTAGGTAAATTACTTGGCCTAACCTAATTACTTGGCTTAATCACTGGTTTTTGCCAAAAAAAATTCTAGTAAGACAAATGAAAAGCCAGTTGTAAAAAGTGATTTAATGTAATTGTATGCTTCTTTTATTTTGATCATGGATTTTCTATTTCTTTCAGGCGCCATCGCTGGTGATGAGCAAGTAAGAATTACTCCATCTCTGAAAGATCAAAAAGGTGATTTTTAATTATGTATTTTTTAGGTATCTTTTTATAAAGGGAGGATAGACAGATATGGTTTTAGGGGTCCATGGAGGGCAATGCCCCCAGGCACTGTGCAGCCAGAAGAGGCCAGACACTTAAGAAAGAAGTAAGAATTGTAAAGAATAAGGACCTGCCAGATGTTTTCTGATTATCCATCCTGTGCCTTGTCACCCCTATAACTACTATTAATGTATTGAAAAACAGTGGAACCAGACAAATTTGAGCTGGTATGATTTGTTTGCTATGAAACACTTGGCAACAAACAGTTTATATCAATTAAGAACAACTAAAGCTACTAAAACTACAATTACATTAAGCTGTGATATTCATGGCGAGGAAAGACACAAGGTCACAGAGTCCTCACCATGAATGCCACATACAATTCAACAACAAATTACACCATCTTAGAAAAAAGAAAGAGAAAATAGGATAAAATAAAAGTTAGAGAAAGAAAAAAAAGGGGTGCTGCTGCTGTATTTCGGCATTAATTTAACCTTGCCGAGGCCTTAATGAAGAAAATTGTTGCTTCTAATATCATTCTGTTTGCAACTGTACCCAAATTCTGATCTTCAAACAAGATTACGTGACAACGGTCTTTCATATTTACATCTGCAACATTACATCGATACCTGAGAGCTGGTCAAACTGGCGCTTCATGCTGTACAGAGGGCAATGCAGGAGAAAATGCCCATTGTCCTGTTTACCAGTGCCACAGACACACATCAGACATAAACAGGCAAAGTTATGTTTGAATCTATGCCCATTCAAAGCACTGATCTCACCCCTAAGCATGGTTAGAAGTCTGATACCCAGAATGTCACAAATGTTATAGGTAGGATTGTTAATTGACAGTTGAGCACTTAGCAACAAACAGTTCGTTAAGTTACAATGTATTTATACATCATTCTTATTGCTAGTAACATTTATCAATTAGAACTCTTTATAATTAGAATTCAATATTTCATTTAGGCTCTGTCTGGGCAAAGAGCAAAAACACTAATGAATTCTGGGAAATTGAAGTCTTTTTCAAAGTTACTGGCAGGGGCCGAGTTGGTGGTGATGGGTTGGTAAGTAAAGTTTTTCAAAGGTATTCCTTTAATGTGTAAATGAAGAAAAGGTCACTGTAGCAGGCTGCTCGACGGGCTCCAAGGAGTTCTTGCTGCAAAAAGTTGATAAAAATGTAGCAAATAAGAAACACCGCAATACGCCGAGAATAAACATCAATAAATACACGTAAATCAGTGAAGGCTAATATTTCACCCCAGCATACGGGGCTTCATCAGTGCAAAAAATTTTGCTGTACAATATAAAAGACCATTACTAGGAATTTAAGTAAAATTGTACTAGGAGAAATTAACAAATTTATTAAGGATGTTTCCGGTTTTGACTTGATAACAGGCTATGCTTGAAACATCCTTAATAAATTCATTTATTTTTCCTAGTATAATTTCATGTAAATTCCTAGTTTTATTTTAAATCCCTGATTGTTTGGCAAAAAAACTTAAAATACTCTCGCACACACTCTTTTTACATTCAATGATAGTTACACCGATGCTTTTGCATGTAATTCTGCAAGGGAATTGCTTCAATTGCTTCAAAGACAAAGCACGGTTATTAAGCCAAGTTGTTTACAAATCACTTCATCGTTGAAACGTCGTGGGAACACTGCTCACGTGAAATAATGAGTTGCCAAACAATACTGCTCCATTTTGTTGTTATCAAACCATGAAATCCAGTAGCGGCATCATGGTAGGGGGGGGGGGCTAGGGGGACACGTCTCTTATTTGACTATTATCTTATTTTATTCAATGATATTGAGTTTTGTTTTATAACTTGCTTTAATTTCTGTTATGTGAAAGTTTTTTTCCCAATTATAGGCAGTCTGGTATACGGAAGAAACTGGATCTTCTGGGCCAGTTTTTGGTGCATCTGATAATTGGAAGGGAATGGGCCTTTTCTTTGATTCCTATGACAATGATGGAGAGGTATGGTGTTATTTTTGTTTATAAACCTATAGAATTCTTATATCTTCAGGCCACTCTCATACAATTTTTTATTTGTTTGGCCAGGATCTTTATAGAGTACCGAAGTAAGACGTCATCAAAAATCTATTTTTAGAATCTCTTAAATTTGGCCACATAATCTGAAAGAACAGCATAAAATACCTCTCATTGTGCAAAATTATATTCTAAATTTGGCGAGATATGGCCAATGAAAGACTTTGCTAATGGATCGCTGTTATTCTGGCCTGGTTCATGAAGTTATGAACCAAATTACTGAGGTTTGATGGGGCAAGAGCTTGTGCCCAAGTGGCCATATCTCAGCCAATTCATTATTTTTTAACTGATTTTGCTTATTTAGAGGTATTTTATGATGCTATTTCAAGTTCTGGGATCAAAATTCAGAAATTCTAAAAATAGATTTTTATGACGTCATCACTTTGTTACTCTATTGTCATCCCTGCCAACAAAGTCATAGAAAATTCATGAAGGTTTTCACCATAAAAACATATAATGGACAGGACCTTTAGATTTTACGAAATCTTCCATATTTTTCTGGCTTACATGGCTATGCCTGCGTACAAACAAACCCAAAAATTATCTTACCTTATGCTAGGATTCACCTTATAACAGCATAGACCAATAAAGGTTCCCCAAAAACTTGTTATAAAATTAGTTTTACATCGCTTTGAGGAATCTAAAGGCTGGCCAACATGTCCTTATAAAATATTCTAGCAAATACCAATCATTAGTTACGAATCCTTTTGGTAATGAACCGGTTTTTACCTTTGAAATAACTTTGTTATTACAAATGAGTTTTGCTCTACTAAAACGTGTTTTGCTCAGAAAGCTTTTGTTCTGGCCACAGATTAGGGTACTAGAAAAAGAAGTTTTTGCAGCATCTCAAACCTTAACTTTACAAATCTTCTTAATCATTTTTCATGATTTATTGATAAACGATGCTCCATTTCTTATACTTGGAAGTTTATTCTCAAACCTTGAAAGACCAAAGATCTTATTCTTAAAAGACTTTTGGGCATAACGAAAATTAAAAGTTTGCAAGTTTTGCCTAAGATCTTCCATAGTTCTAAATCGATGTTTTGAATATTTTGCATGCAATTTCCTGTCATCCTTAAAATGCCATGTTTTCAAAAAACCTTGCCTTTTCACCCCTGGACCAATCTACATTCCCCCCTCCTTTCTCTGAATTCAACTTCAATAGTGATTTTCTACCCTGACTTCAAAATTGCTTGGAAAAAAGGCAAAAAAATACTTCAAGCTTTTTCGTCTGACACCTCAGAGCAGGGTTGTAGTGCTAGGGGGTGCTGACCAAGGGTGTTATGCCCAGAAGAAGCCAATTTATACTTTTCCTATTGTTTTTCGTAGCGATTTCGCAAGAGCCTCCCTTGTTATTTTGATAACACTACACCCCTGCCTCAGAGTTATTCGCTTTTGTACAGATTAGGGCTAAAGACACTACCAACGAAGTTAAGCATGCCAGGTTTTGATAGGAATTTTCAAAGACTTTAAAGTTTTTGATCATGACCTGTCGGTACATTTTCATTTTCTCTGCTAAAACCCGCACCCCCACTCAGAGATCTTTTGGCACGCCACTGTCTATCATGACCAGGCACTGCGGAGCATATTACAGATTGAGGGGGCAAAAACAACGTTTTAGGGGGGTGGCTAAACATTTTAAAAAACTAAGATCAGGGCAATTTTTGTATGGTTTTAAGTACGTTTTGAAAATTATTGGGGGAGCTAAAGCCCCCGTAGTCCTCCCCCCGCTTCCGGGGTCCTTGATCATGACACAACTTCGCATTAATTCTTTTGAGCACGACCAAACTTGCACCCAGGCAGAAACAAACACAATATATATTGAGACAAAATAGTCCCTGTGTAGCTGGTGATTCTAAGCATTACGCTGTACAATTGTGGTGTACAAACAATTTACCCGGTGGACACATATGGCGGACGGTTGTTTTTAGGTTTCACTTTGGCAACATACACTCTTTTTTTATAAGAACCAGTAAATTTAAGTTCAGGCTGACGGTTCTTAATTTTTTCGAAAATCTGAGGCTGGATTGTTCTTAATTTGTTCTTAAGTTAAGAGGGTGTAAGCAGTGCTATTGCTAGCTTCTTCGCTCTAAGGTGGTGAAAAGGCCTCATTTGCCAACAAAGTGAGTGATACAGCCTTAATTTGCTGACAAATTTGAATATTCACCGAAAAAGCACCCACACATCGCTAAAATCCTCGATTTTGAGAAAAAACGTTGTTCAAAATTGCATTTTGCAGAAGCTCAGCCTCAGCTTGTTCTTAATTTGTTCTTAACTTTTGACCAGTTTTGAGGCTCGTGTTCTTATAAAATTGTTCTTATAAAAAAAAGAGTGTAGCTGTAGTTCTTTCAGAACAAAGTTTTATTTTTTAACAATGCCAAAGGTTAAGATATTTTGCCACTCTTTCTTTCAGAACAACAATCCATACGTGATGGTAATGCTGAACGACGGAACAAAGTCATACGATCATTTCAAGTGTGTAGATCTCAATAAAGCTTTCTTCTATCTTAATGACAGTCTGTCCTCTCAATGATTGGCTAATATGATAAATGGGTTTTCCCGCCTTGAAGGCATTGAGTCGTGGTGAATAGGCCTTCTCTATAGGGGGTCATTTGGTTTCGGCGTGACCGCTGCTGTTTCATGTGATATTTGCATCCGCTGTTGACAACTTACTTTTGATGGAAATTGTTTTGTCAATCAGTACGAGGTGAGTTCATGTGACCAGTTCCAGGTCAACCAATAGCATCGCAGTCATGAAAATCATGAATCAGCGGATTTTGGCACTTTGGGTATACCCAATCCATTTTATCATGACTCAATTCCTTTAGCGGATAACTTTACTAGATTTTGCTGCGGTAATTAACGATATTTGAAAGTGCGACAAAAAAGCTATCGGAAATAGAGTTCTAAAATGATGACGTCACGAAAGGCAAGTGTGTTACGAGTTGGCACATGTGTACTGGCTCTATCCCCATCAAACCTCTGTAATTTGGTCTCTGTTCATAACTTTATGATCAGAGCGAAAATAACAATGATTCGTTAGCGAACCTCAAATCTCTAATTAGCCATATCTCAACCGATTTTAGACATGTTTGGCCAATTTTGCGTATTTGAAAGTATTTCATGGTGATCTTTTACGCTATGTGGTTAAAATTCAAAAATTATAAGAAAAGGTTTTTGATGACGTCACAGTTTAGAACTCTATGGCAAGATCATTAATCGTTTATCGTTTTGATGACGTCACGCCAGGGTTTCCTGTCGCTGTTAAAATATCTGTTGCACAAACCAAACTTGACAAATTTGTCGCAGGAAGGAACAAAATTTATTCTAACCACAGCTTCACTAAAACGGGAACACTGGCGTTTTATTTCCCATGTCAAAAGTGCTTGAACCAAAATTATCTCTGGCTTAACAATTCATTAAGCTCAACAGTGCGCGAATTTCGATCAAGTGAAAATAAAAGTGGAGCACAATAGGGGGACAGATTGTCTCTAAAGGCACATCATCGCGCTTTTTATTGGTTAACCAAAACAATAGCAAAACAAAACAATAATAAATGGGGCTACCAAAACAGAATGATGCGTCATGCTCGCGCGGTTTTTGCTGTACATGAAAATTCAACTCACAAAAACCAATGAGGATGGCGACAGTGTGCCTTTGGCGTAACTGGTGACGTCATAACAATGATGACATCACAAAAGTTTATTTTTAGGATTTTGAATTTAGCAAAAAAAACTCCTTATACTTGTTATTCCAAATCATGATATACCACTATACAAGACTATGCAATACTATACAATACTACACAATGCTATGCAATATTATACCTGACTTAATGATACTATAAGAACCACACAATGTTATATAATACTATACAGTGCAATGCTATGCAATTCTAATTAATACTACAGAATACTATAGAATACTGGGCAATGCTACATAATTCAGAACTAAACACTACTTCACAATTATACTATACAATACTATAAAATACTATACAATGCTATGTAATACTATAAAAATTAAACAGTGTTATATAATTCTATACAATAATAAAGAATACTATACAATTCTATATTATATTTTACAATTCGACGAAATAGTATATAATACTATGCAATACTACAAAAAACTATGCATTGCTATACAGTACTAGTTAATACAACAGAATACTACCGAATACTGTGAAATGATATGAAATATAATATACGTCTTCACAATACTATACAATATTATACAATCTCTTTGCAGGGACGGATCAAGTCAACAATTGGGGGGATGTATGCGTGATTTCAGAAACCGCCCTAACCCGGTTCGGGCGAAAGTTCGGTATTTCAACAATGTGCTTACGGTTAGTATTTAATGTATCTAAGTTGCTGGTCGCGGATAAGTGTTAATTTATTGCTGTTTTTCTAAAGGTAATAGCTTTTCAACACTACAAAAACGACAGACTTCTGAAACTCTTTCGAAGTTTTTTTCAGAAAATAATTGCCTCAGAAGTGCGAGAGAGGTCACGTGACTAAGCATATGCTCTCGGCCAACAGAAAAATTGGGGTCATGAACTTTAAAGATATCATTTTTTAGCGACATTTCGTAATTGCCATTTCGAGAGAAGCAGGTAGATTTTTGAACTGAAATTTTAAGGGTAGTTAGAGCTGGTATAGTTTTTGCCACAGTTAAACATTTCTTTCTGTCCTTCAAAAGTTTTCATCCTGTGAGCGTAATGTTCACATTTTGTGTGGGGAATTCTGCGTAGATAGCCCTGTGCTCGAATAGAATTCCCAGTGACACCAAATAACTCTCAATGATGATTCGCAATTCGTAATTCGTAATTCGTAAGTAACTCCTACCGAAAGTTTACAGGTATATATATACGATTCTAATGGAAAGTTCTAGAACCTATATTATAAGCATGAGTCCACAAAACTATAATTAGAATTTACCTGAAAGTTCTGTCATGATGACGTTAGCAACCTATTACATAAGAATCTAAATTTACTACAGCTAGAAACCTCCCGAAAGAGCTAGAACAACTATTACGAGGCTAAATATGAAAACGAGGTTAACTAGGAAGTTCGATTAAATTAAGGTTGGCCTAAATTACGGATAGGATAATCGTTGTTATATACGTGTTTACATAAAGATTTAAATGTCATAATCAGTCAGCAAATATCAAAGGTAAGCTTCTCTAGAATGTTCTAAAACTTCTGACAAAGGGTACACTCAGATTTAGCACATTTGCGACCTGAATGTTATAGGGGATGAATGGAAATATTCTTTGCCGCTATCTTGGATAAATAAGAAACAAGCTGGTCCCCCGTCTGTGTAGTTACTTAAGATTCGTATTGGACGTTCTATTTGACTAAAAAGGACGGGGGTTGACTGAAGGAACGTTGAGCATTTGATGGATCAGGGGGGGGGGGGGGGGGGGGGGGGGGGTAAAACATTTTGTTGAATCCGCATGCCACAGCTAGGTTACTATGGTTTTGAAGTTAATCTTTATATGGGTGTTATTTAAGTCTTAAGCAGCCATACTCTAGAAGTGTTTGTAGTTATTTCTGGATAAGGAAAATGTCATCATTTTCAAGTATTTTATCATAATGGTATGTGTAAATAGAACGCCCATTGCTCGTTGGTTCATAATTACAAATAATGTCATCATTTTCAGGTATTTCTCGATAATGGCATATCTAAAGAAGGCGGCTCCTGTTTTTTGTGTTATAATTATATCCATGTCATCTTTTTGAAGTATTTTTCAAAAATATGTTATGTCAAAAGAAGACGGCCAATATGTCTTTGTTTACTGATTTTAATTCATGTCATCTTTTTCAAGTATTTTTCACAAATATGTTATGTCAAAAGAAGACGGCTGATGTGTCTTTATTTTATGATTATAATTCATGTCATCTTTTTCAGGTATTTTTCCACAATGGTATGTCAAACCGAGATGATGAATATGAGCTTTGCATGAGAGCTGAAAATGTCAACTTGCCCAAAGAAGGCTTCTTTGGGGTATCTGCTGCTACTGGGGGGCTGGCTGGTAAGATGCTCTTCAATATTACAGGGTTATAGAAGGTTTAAAGGGGTATTTTGTCAGGGTTAAGAGAGATTGGAGGGGAAATTGGAATGCTGTGCTCGTCTCCTGTGTAGTAGTTCACTTTAGTAGAGTTGAGGGAAATCTTGAAAAGAAGGAGGAGATAGGAATAAAAAGGATTGGGGGGGGAAAGAAATGGAATGTGATACAAAAGAGATGAAGAAGGGGGGGGGTGGAAAGGGATGAAGATCGAGAAGAGGAAGGGAGAGAGGAGAGAAGAAAGCAAGACGGGGTGAAGGGGGAAAAGGAAAGAAGAGGAAAAAGAAGCGGGTAGGAGGGGAAAAGAAAAAGGTCTGGAAGAGGTGAGAAACGAGAGCAAGAGGAGAAAAAGAAGTTGAAAATTCAGGAGGAAAGGTAGGAAAGGGGCGAGAGAAGAGAGAGGAGAGAAAAAGTGGAAGGAAAATAGAGAAAAACAGGGGGGATAGAGGAATAGCGTTGGAGAGAATAGGGAATAGAGAAAAGATGGGAAGGGTTTTAGAGAAAGGAAGGAAGATCAGAACAAAAGAGTTACGAGGAGAAAGGAAGTTGAAGGGAAGGAGAGAAAGCTAGGGGAGGGATGGAGGAGTAGCGTTGGAAAAAAGGAACCAGAGAAATGATGGGAAGGGTTTTAGAGAAAGAAAGGGAGATCAGAACAAAAGATTTGAGAGGAGAAAGGAAGTTGAAGGGAAGGAGAGAAAGCCAGGGGAGGGATGGAGGAGTAGCGTTGGAGAGAAAAAGGAACCAGAGAAAAGATGGGAAGGGTTTTAGAGAAAGAAAGAGCTAGGAGTATGATAAAGAAGTGGCAAGAGGGAATAGATGGCAATAAAATACGTGTGAATTTGTCTTAGAATATATAATAATCCCTTTGTTGATTGTTTTGTGCACTCTTTTGTGTTATTGAATTTTCTGATAGAGATAAATGCGCAATGAGTTATACGGAAAATTAAAACAAATTCGTTTGGCTATGACAACTTGTCGACCATGACTTTTAAGAGTCACTGTTTACCAGGCTCTTTTTTCTTTAGATGACCACGACGTATTGAAGTTTTTAACATACAGTCTTAAAGTGCCAACTGAAGAGGTATGCAAATTTGTTTCTTGAATAATTTTTTGCTGAACACAATTTGAAAAAGGCTTTGAAAAAAGCAAGCATTTTATAACATACTGACAGCTATTGCGTCTGGCACATCTCGGACTATAAATCGTCGGAATCAAACGAAGGAAGGAAAATATATACCCAGTTCTGGATCAAAATATAAATTACCACTAAAGTCCAAGACAGAAAACGAACTTCTTCCAATCCACCCTCGAATCTACCTCCTATTCCAGTTAATCCACCATAAATTCCTAGTCTATCCGTGTCAAATTCAGTCGTTGCTAATTCAAATTCAATTCATACTCTCATCTTTTTTTTCAGTGTGCTTCAAACACCCTTGCCAACTTTCCCTTATTTCCACCCTACCCTTCCCCAATCTACCCTTCGCCAATTTCCACCCTACCCTTCGCCAATTTCCACCCTACCCTTTGCAATTTCCACTCTACCCTTCGCCAATCTCCTCCCCCAATCTCCACTCCAATCTCCCTGATTACCAGACCACCCTTCTCCAATCTCGACTCCACCCTCTCCCAATTCCCACGCTTCCCTTCGCCAATTTCCACTCTACCCTTCGCCAATTTCCTCCCCCAATCTCCACTCCAATCTCCCTGATTACCACACCACCCTTCTCCAATCTCGACTCCACCCTCTCCCAATTCCCACGCTTCCCTTCGCCAATTTCCACCCTACCCTTCGCCAATTTCCACCCTACCCTTCGCCAATTTCCACCCTACCCTTCGCCAATTTCCACCCTACCCTTCGCCAATTCCCACGCTTCCCTTCGCCAATTTCCACCCTACCCTTCGCCAATTTCCTCCCCCAATCTCCACTCCAATCTCCCTGATTACCACACCACCCTTCTCCAATCTCAACTCCAGCCTCTCCCAATTCCCACGCTTCTCTTCCCCAATCTCCACCCTACCCGTCCCTATGTACTCTTTCGTCGAATACACCAAACCCCTGTAAACCTACCTTCCGTATCCCAAAATTTGATTACATTGCCATAATCCTTATAATTTGCTAAAATTCATGTTATTATTCCAAAACTCAACCGACAGAAAAAACCCGCAAAGGAAATCTCAGAAGAGGAGAGAAAGAAACTGGAACAACAATACGACCAGTATGCACAACAATTGGAGAAGGAAAAAGAAACGTAAGTTTAATGGTCTTTGTTATTTTGTCGTTTAGTTGTAATAGTTGTTATTAATTGTGTTATCTTCTTTTTTCATTTTGTTACATTAATTTATTACATTTAGATTTATTTTTGCTATTCTTTAATGATCTTTATCATTTTTTTCAACAGTTATGTATATATTAAAGTTACATAATGAAAATTTGTTTAAATATCAGAAAATGGAAGTTAATCATTTATTTTGAAAACAAAAATATCAGATTTCTTACTTTTGATCAAAAAAATTGAACGAACATTGTAAAATAGTCTTAAATATAAACTGAAATAAAGTCTCCCAAAAATCTGGTGAGAATTAATCATAAAGTGTTCGTTCCGTATAGACAGAGCTGTACACGCTATTTGGTGTATAGAACAGGAGGCTTTCAAGTTGCTACTCCGAGTTTCATGCTTAATGTGATCATCGGGCATTTTGCATGCTTTTTACTAGAATATTTGTGTACAAAGCATATTGTCTAATGAAAATTACAGTTTACCGGTCTGTCATAAAGTGCTCTATTCTGTATAGACAGAGCTGTACACGCTATTTGGTGTATAGAACAGGAGGCTTTCAAGTTGCTACTCCGAGTTTCATGCTTAATGTGATCATCGGGCATTTTGCACGCTTTTTACTAGACTATTTGTGTAGAAAACATATTGTCCAATGAAGATTACAGTTTACCAGTCTGACATAAAGTGCTCGATGACGTATAGACAGAGCTGTACACGCTATTTGGTGTATAGAACAGCAGGGCTCTAAGTTGCTACTCCGAGTTTCATGCTTAAAGTGATCATCAGGCATTTTATTGGTTTTTACTAGGCTATTTGTGTACAAGCCATATTGTCCAATGAAAATTACAGTTTACCGGTCTGTCATAAAGTGCTCTATTCCGTTTAGACAGAGCTGTACCCGCTATTTGTTGTATAGAACAGAACGGTTCTTAGTTGCTACCCCCAAGTTTCACGCTTAATGCGATCATCAGGCATTTTTTATGCTTTTTACTAGACTATTTGTGTAGAAAACATATTGTCCAATGAAGATTACAGTTTACCAGTCTGACATAAAGTGCTCGATGACGTATAGACAGAGCTGTACACGCTATTTGGTGTATAGAACAGCAGGGCTCTAAGTTGCTACTCCGAGTTTCATGCTTAAAGTGATCATCAGGCATTTTATTGGTTTTTACTAGGCTATTTGTGTACAAGCCATATTGTCCAATGAAAATTACAGTTTACCGGTCTGTCATAAAGTGCTCTATTCCGTTTAGACAGAGCTGTACCCGCTATTTGTTGTATAGAACAGAACGGTTCTTAGTTGCTACCCCCAAGTTTCACGCTTAATGCGATCATCAGGCATTTTTTATGCTTTTTACTAGACTATTTGTGTACAAAGCATATTGTCCAATGAAGATTACAGTTTACCAGTCTGACATAAAGTGCTCGATGACGTATAGACAGAGCTGTACACGCTATTTGGTGTATAGAACAGCAGGGTTCTAAGTTGCTACTCCGAGTTTCATGCTTAAAGTGATCATCAGGCATTTTATTGGTTTTTACTGGGCTATTTGTGTACAAGCCATATTGTCCAATGAAAATTACAGTTTACCGGTCTGTCATAAAGTGCTCTATTCTGTATAGGCAGAGTTGTACACACTATTTGGTGTATAGAACTCTGAGTTTCACGCTGTTTGGGCTTTTAGTTTGTACACGCTATTTGGTTTTAAGCTGCTACTCCGAGTTTCACGCCAACTGCAACCATCAGGCAACAGTTGTTTGTTAATATACACAGTTATATTTTATGTTTATCCTCAGATTCAAAACGCAACATCCTGAAAAGTTCAAGGACCAGGAAGGACGTGTAAGCCCACCTTTAAAATTCTTAATCGTAAAAGAAGTAACAAAATGAAATGTTATAAAAAATTCAATGCGAAAGGACGAAGGAGTGAAGTATAATATTCTGTAGTATCTAATAGTATTTTTCGTATCGTATTGTATCGTATCGCATAGTATTGTATAGTACTGTGTTGTATCCTGTATAATTGTATATGACTGTTTAGTACTGTGTTGTATTATGTAGTATTGTATAGTATTGTATAGTACTGTGTTGTATCCTGTATAATTGTATATTACTGTTTAGTACTGTGTTGTATTATGTAGTATTGTATAGTATTGTATAGTACTGTGTTGTATCCTGTATAATAATTGTAGTACTGTGTTGTATCCTGTATAATTGTATATTACTGTTTAGTACTGTGTTGTATTATGTAGTATTGTATAGTATTGTATTCTATTGTGTGAATTAGGCTTTTATTTACAATACTTAATAGTTTTCTGTAGGATTTAATAGTATTTTATAGTATTGTATAATACCGTGTTGTATTCGGTAGTATTGTTTTGTCTTGTATGATAATTAATAGAATTCTGTAGAAATGTATTGTAGTAATGTATATTTGTATCTGTGGTAATAGTATGGTATGGTATTGTTAAGTGCTGTGTGAATCGGATTTATATAGTATTCAATAGAATTCTGTAGAAATGAATTGTAGTAATGTATATTTGTATCTGTAGTAATAGTATGGTATGGTATTGTTTAGTGCTGTGTGAATTAGACTTATATAGTATTTTATATAATCCTGTAGTATTGTATTGTATTGTGTAGTATTTTATAGCCTTTATAGAATTATGTAGTATTGCACAGTCTTGTTTAGTATTTAACAGATTTATGTAGTATTTAATAGTATTGTATAGAATTATATAATATTTCGTAGCATTATTCAGTATAATTTAGAATTGTTTAGTATTCTGTAGTATTCAATAGCACTGTATAGTATTAAAAAGTACATACTGTAGTATTGGATGGTTTTATATGGTATTTTATAGTTTTGTATAGCATTATGCAGTATTGTTTAGTGTTGTAAAGTACTGTGCTGGATTCTGTAGTATTGTGTAGTATTGTATCGTACTTTGTGAATCAGACTTGTTTAGTATTTAATATAATTTTGTGGTATTTAATAGTATTGTATAGTACTGTGTTGTATTCTGTTGTATTTACATGGTATTACATAGTATTTTCTAGTCTTGTATAGCACTATGTAGTATTGTATAGTATTATATAGTACTGTGTTATAGTACTGTGGGTATACGCTCTCATTTTATCATGGCTCAATACCTTTAAGGGCCACGTGAGAAATCAACAAATAATACTATATTTTTGTTGGTATCTATTATCTGAAAGTTAAAGATATTACGTAAATATATTGACATTCTTTTTTATAAGAACCAGTAAATTTAAGTTCAGGCTGACAATCTTTAATATTTTCGAAAATCTCGAAATTGTTCTTAATTTGTTCTTTAATTAATAGAGTGTAAGCAGTGTGGTTGCCAGCTTTTTGGCTCCACGAAGTTGTTCTGGCCTCATTTGCCAACAAAGTGACTAAAATACAACATTCATTTGCCATGAAGTTTGAATAATCACAGAAAAAGCACCCACACATGGCTAAAAATCCTCGTTATTAAGATAAAACGTTGTTCAAAATTGCATTTTACAGTAGCTCATCCTCAACTTGTTCTTAATTTGTTTTTAACTTTTGACCAATTTTGAGGCTCCTGTTCTTATAAAATTGTTCTTATAAAAAAGAGTGTATAAGAATATGAAGTTTTCCTGTAGGTCAAGTGGGAAAATTCTCTCACAAAAGATTGACCCCACACGCACGCGGGCCGCACGGGAACGTCTAATGGGCCCGCGGGCCGATATCCAGGTCTGGAACAGGCTATTAATTATTCAGCCTTATATAATTAATGTTAATTTATTTGTTTTGTCCTTAATTCATTTATTTCTTATTCATTTTTAGTATGAAAATGCCTATGATAGAGATGTGCGTTTGATTTATGAAGGACAAGCCTCAATTCATTCTCTTGTCGGGTAAGTCCGTGTATAGATATCATATAGATCATCCCCCCTCCCCCTCCCCCCCCCACCCCTGTTGAGCAACTACGGCCTGTGTTAGATAATCATATAGCTACCCCCGTCGACCAGCTCAATCTTCAATATAATACCCTTTTCTTTTATAGAACGCTGCATGGTAAAACGGGTGAACTGACCACACAAGTCAACAATTTGCATAACACTGTTGCGAAGATCCAAGCAGGGGGTAGTGTCGGCGCTTCAACTGGAGGTGGAATATCCCGACAAGAATTCAACTCAATGATAAACAGTCAAAATGAACTCAAGAATGTTATATACAACATGAAGTAAGTCTATGTTGCCTTTCACAAAGGGTAATTTGACCCCCTTTCAACACCCTTTCCGATAGTGTTCTGCGAGTGTGAGGGTGTCTCAGTTGTCAGGGTTGCAAACTACAGATTCATGTTCGGGTCTATGGTTCGAGTCAATGACACAACCAAACTTTGTTGTATTTGTTTCTACCTAGCATCCGAAGGTAGTTTTTAGGACACTGAAAGCTATGCTTATCGAGCAGTGTCCTGGTCCTCCCTCTCGATGTGACCACACGTCGTGATTCCTACGCCTTGAATTACAGAGAGCTGGCGACTCTCCCCACTCCGGGTGAAAGTTTGGTATTGCCAGGGACTCGAACCACGGACCCTTGCGTCTGTAGTCAGCGCCTCTAACAACTGAGCCATCCCCGCATCTTTCCAAACTGTCACACAGACAGGAATGTTGCAAGATTTATGTAATTCCAGGCGAAGGAATCACCAGGTGTGGTCAAATCCTCTTTGGGCGGAGTCCCGAACTACAGCAGATCCATGTTCCCCAGGACTGTAAATCTTTTGACCCCCCCCCCCCCTTGACTTCGTCGCTAGCTTAACGAATCTTTTCCTGGCAAATACAGAGTAGCATACGCATTTATTGACAAATAAACATCCCCTCCTCCGATTATAGAATCTGAAACTTTTCCCAGCCAACAAAAATTTATCGTGATCCTTTCCCAGCGCCTTTTCTTCATGTTTTGTTCCCCCTTCTATTTCTTGTTTCATTTCTTCGTTCCCTTGTTTCGCTTCACATCTCCCCCTCCTTTCTGTCTTCTAATCTCTCTCGTCTCATATTTTTTCTGTTCTTTTCCCTTTTTTTACCTTTTCATATTTTCATTTTCTATACCATTATTTCTTTTCTTCATTTTTTGAAAACATTTTCATTTACCTTAGAACGCAGATGGAATCTTTGCAAGGGACTAAAGGTGATGAGAAACTCGACGAACTCCATAAAAATCTTCGAACAGTTGTGGAAAATGTTGGCCACCTTGTTACAAAGAGCCAGGTGATTATCATGATTCATATTTGTGATTAGAGTGATCGTCTTTGATTCCTTTTGCGGTAAGAGTGATCGTCGTTGATTCCATTTGTGATTGGAGTGATCTTTGATTCCATTTGTGATTAGAGTGATCGTCTTTGATTCCAGTTTGTGACTAGCATGATTTTCTTTTATTTCGTTTGCGATTACCATGATTTTATTTGATTCCTTTTATGATTAGAGTGATCTTCTTTTATTCCCTTTTGCGATAAGAGTGATCGTCGTTGATTCCATTTGTGATTGGAGTGATCGTCTTTGATTCCATTTGTGATTAGAGTGATCGTCTTTGATTCCAGTTTGTGACTAGCATGATTTTCTTTTATTTCGTTTGCGATTACCATGATTTTATTTGATTCCTTTTATGATTAGAGTGATCTTCTTTTATTCCCTTTTGCGATAAGAGTGATCGTCGTTGATTCCATTTGTGATTGGAGTGATCGTCTTTGATTCCATTTGTGATTAGAGTGATCGTCTTTGATTCCAGTTTGTGACTAGCATGATTTTCTTTTATTTCGTTTGCGATTACCATGATTTTATTTGATTCCTTTTATGATTAGAGTGATCTTCTTTTATTCCCTTTTGCGATAAGAGTGATCGTCGTTGATTCCATTTGTGATTGGAGTGATCGTCTTTGATTCCATTTGTGATTAGAGTGATCGTCTTTGATTCCAGTTTGTGACTAGCATGATTTTCTTTTATTTCGTTTGCGATTACCATGATTTTATTTGATTCCTTTTATGATTAGAGTGATCTTCTTTTATTCCCTTTTGTGATAAGAGTGATCGTCTTTGATTCCCTTTGCGATAAAAGTGACCGTCTTTGATTCCATTTGTGATTGGAGTGATTTTTGATTCCATTTGTGATTATAGTGATCGTCTTTGATTCCCTTTGCGATAAGAGTGATCGTCTTTGATTTCCTTTGCGATAAGATTGATCGTCTTTGATTTCCTTTGCGATGAGAGTGATCGTCTTTGATTTCCTTTGCGATGAGAGTGATCGTCTTTGATTTCCTTTGCGATGAGAGTGATCGTCTTTGATTCCATTTGTTTGTATATGTGGGTAGGGCAAGAATAAGAGGCTGATGGTAAGAAAAACTATAAGGAAAGATTTAAGGAAGCTAAAAGTATGAGGGGCAAGCAGGGAAGGATGGTTTTGAAATGCAATGAAGGTACGGGTGGTTTTGAAGCAATAAATGAAGCCGAGGGTTATAAAAATAAGGTAGTCAAAAAATGGGTTTTTGAGGTAGCAATAGTGCCAGAGCAAAATAGTAAAGCAGGTAGGGATTAAAAAGTATAGTTGAGACAAGGAAAGGAGTTTTGAAAGGGTAAGGGGGCAGGGGGCTTTGGAAAAGTATCAAAAGCAGGGGTTTCAAAAAGTAAGGGATGCAAGGGGGGGTTCTTTAATATTAAAAAAGGCAAGAAGGATTTTAAAATATAAGGTTTGAAAGAGTGAAGGGGGCAAAGGGAATGGAAAGGAAAACGAGGAAGAAATAAAGTATGTAATGAGAGAAATGACATTAAGATGTATGAAAGAGAAATCAAGAAAAGGAAAAAAATAAGAGAAGAGCCATTGGTTTATTAAAGTACGTGTACGTGTACGTGTACGTGGAAACGTTGACCGCAACATACTTCAATTTTAATCTTATATTTTTATACGTCTTGCGATGAGTATAATTTCTCACCATGACATCCTCACTTTATCATCAAAGTAACACGTTCCGTTTTATGAAATAACATGGTATGTGTAGTGATTTTAATATTGTAAATTAGGCCATATTCCTACTTCATGCCATCACCATGACATCAACTACGTCATTCACAGCATCACCTAGCACAGGACATTCCCTTCACCATTGTTTACACATTCACACATCTATGTCATGCTGACTTCTTCCCAAGTCTAAATCACAGAATAGGAATTAGGCAGAAGGGGAACTCCTGCCTATCAGGTGAAGCCTGAACAAACTAGCGCATGCGTTAACTTATACGAGGCTTAGCATGTATCTGTCGGGGAAATATTAAAAAAGAATGAAAGTAGACAACTTTATTTGAGACGAAATGCTCCATGATAGTGAACAAATTCAATTATGTATCATAATTCGTTTATATCTGATTAATGAATGATAATTTGTCATGGCTAAGTTCGTTCAATGAAATCGAGGTTAAAGGGGAATTAAGGAATTCTATTGTTGACTCAGGCTTCAAAAACAACAAAGGAACCGACGAGAGTTACCCTTCTGCCTATTTCCTATTCTGTGTCTAAATCTTTCCTTCTCCATTGCATCATCATTACATCATCACAACACATCATTACTCAGCACATTTATTTTGTATATAAGTATGTTAATTTTTATGTAATTCAGTCAGTCAGTCAAGTTCAGTTCAGATCAGAGTTATAAAGCAATACACTGTCTCTCTCACTTGCTCCATGTTCTCTGCACGTTAAATAAGATTCGTCGAAGTAACACCAACGATGGAAAGTCACAGGATATGATAGGAACCATTGCAATTCTTGCTAAATAATAGCGTTCCTATATATGTATCACAGAACAAACATATTAAAAAAAGAAGTCAGTCATTATTAGTCTTTTTGACTCTCTTTCTTCATTTACCTCTGTTTGTGGCTACATTCTCTGTTTTGATTCATCAACTTATCTTTGAAATCTATTTGGCCATTTCTATATTTTTAGATGCAGGCCGGAAGCCAGCAAAAGAAACAACAACATGAATGCCCGAAGCAAAACTGTGTCAGCACTGGGACTTTTGTAATGCTTTTTGTTGTCCAAATTGTTGTTGTTTTTGGTTATATCTTTTACAAAAATCACCAAGACCAGGCTGCTAAAAAATTCTATTGAAACAAGCGTAATTTAATAATATCCATTGCCATGTTTTTTTTGTATCCATTGTTTTATCCCTCGTTTTTCGTTTCTCGTGAAGCCTATCAGAAATTTGAACGTCTTCCTTGTTGGGGAGTCCAGATTCTCAGGTTCGCCGGAACGATCAAAGGGCAAAGGGAACAGACTGCAGTAAGAGTGCACAGGGGCGGATCCAGAGCAAACTTGAAGGAGGGGCAGTTGGTAGTGAAGTGCTGAAAAATTTTCAAAAATTGATTACGAGAGAACGCTGTATACAACAACTTCAGATCCATTTTCGAAATAAACAACATAACTTCGAAGTAATCCTTGAAGCAAATTAACCTATTGGTCTCAGAAACTTCTTCACCTGATTTTCGTTCTTCAAAAGGGGCGCACAATTTCCAAAAAAGGGGCGCCATACTTGCTTCAACTCGGCGAGGGAGGGGCACCTGCCCCTAGTTGCCCCCCTTAAATCCGCCACTGAGTGCATGTAAGAACAGAATTCCCAACCTCTTCTAATGGTTTTGTAACTGCCGGGTCATTCTATATCAAAGAGTGACAGCCATGTCACCCATCCTCTCTGGTTTTGCCGATATTTTGTGTAAATGTAGGTTATTATGGACAAACAGAAATTGAAAATTTCAAGCGAATGTCTCGAATATATAAAAAATATAGATATTTGAAATTTCTTGTTTTTCAAAATCAGCGAAATCAGAGAGAATGAGTGACGAAGTTGCTGAATTTGTCCCTCTTTGTCCATGTCACCCATCCTCTCTGGTTTTGCTGATTTTTTGGACATGGAACATGCTCCAACTGCTGTCAAAATAAACTTTTTTCAGGATTTCATATATTTGATCTTGAATAAGACACTACAGTCAGATTTTCCTATGAATCTCTTTAATAATTACAAATGGCTGACTTTGAGGTCACTTTTAAGAAAAGGGTCTCTTCATCGCCCCTCCTATTAAAGTGCAAGAGGGGCTAACCCCCCCCCTCTTCTCTCCATAATTTTTGTAGATTCCCATTGTTAAAAGTATGGCTCTATTCACTAGTCTGAAACAGGAAAGCGCCTCTGAAGCAATTTATTTTACTTGTCCTATAGCCTTACATTTTTCTGAAAAAATATTTTCATAGAAAAAGGGGAATTCTTCAAATTGCATCATCAAAAATCAATCCAACTTGACTTACAGTGTTTTTACACCGTATTGAAAAGGTTCGATACAGTTTCGGTTGAAAAATATTTACGTGTAAAAAGATAAGACTATAGCCTAATAAAATTGCCAATTTTTGACCAAACATTTTTCTATTTACAACATGCCTCAATCTCCTCGAAATAAAGCATAAATACGTTTAAATCTGTCCTGGACGCTACTAAAAATGTTTTTTACGTTCTAAAAACGCAGTGTTTTAGTTAAAGATTTTCTTGTAGAAATGCAAGCTTATAACCTTACCAAAATATCCTATTTTTGACCAAGAATTTTTCATCCAAAACTTGCCTAAATCCACGCTAAATGAAGCATAAATGCGTTGAAATCAGTTCTCGCCACTATTAAAAGTGTTTTTATGCTCTAAAAAGGCAGTGTTTTGGTTAAGGGTTTTCATGCAAAAAAGCAAGGCTATAGCCTTACCAAAATACCCCATTTTTGACCAAGAATTTTTTCATCCAAAACTTGCCTAAATCCACGCTAAATAAAGCATAAATGCGTTGAAATCAGTTCTCGCATCTATTAAAAGTGTTTTTATGCTCTAAAAAGGCAGTGTTTCGGTTAAGGATTTTCGTGCAAAAAAGCAAGGCTATAGCCTTACCAAAATACCCCATTGTTGTGTATGCGCGCGCAATGCCTAAGATCCGCTGCGACCTAACGCTAGACCTAGAGAGCACACGAGACAAGACGCCATGTTTTCACTCCGACCCTGATCTAATCTCCTCTATCAACTCCAATCCGAGGCTAATATAAAATGGTTTATGCCTAATACATTACATTCTCCCTTTTCTTGAAATTGTCCTCTAGGGTTTCTATATGAGTTTTGTAAACGTAACCAAACAAACAATTAATATAAACAATGTTCTTCAGCTTTAGTCCTTCGGCGTAGATGATTGTTCTTCAGTGTCAGCAAAAGTATATGTGATATTCATCCATCAACAAAACAAATATATAATCTTCAAAGTTCCAGCTTCTTGATTATAATGAACATAACTAGTAGAACTCCAATGTGTTGCTCAATCAACTTGTGCAAAGTCAATCAATATAAATATATACAACCTCCTGTCTGTCCTTTTTATTCAGTTTTTCTTCTTACGACTCCTTCTTATTGGAAATTTCTTCACTTGTACTTGTTCTTGAATGGCTGTTGGAACAGAATCTGGTACAAAAACTGGTGTTCTGTTGCCAATATCTTCTTGTATGTCTTCATTGCTTTGTTTATTCCAATGATCCTCAACAATTCCTTCCTTAAACCTATTTTCACTATTTTGATGCATGTCAGCATTATCACTTTCATGAACACTAGAATTATTGTTTTCATTTAAGTGTGGAGTGTTATTGGCGTCATTAGCATTAGTGATTGCTCTATTCGGTCTGCGCTCGGAACGCGTTGGCCTTGCGACATTTTGCGCATTGTCAATTAAGAGTTCCTCTGCTAAGATGTCTTCCTCTTCATCTGTGTTGTGTGTGTTCTCCTTTTGAGGTACTGCTTGTCTGTTTGATTCACTCTCATTGTATTTCTTGAGATGAGCTTTGTTCCTGTAAAATTTGTTTCCTCTTTCATTCTCTAGTAAAGCACTTTTCCTGTAGATCTTGATGACTTTGAATTTCTCATTTAACCAATTTGGAGATAATTTGTCATTTTTCCAGAGATTCTTTACTAGCACTGTGTCTTGTTCCTGAATTTCACTGTCTTTTGCATTCCTTTTGATGTCTGTGTAATTTTTCATTTTCCCTTTCTTTTCTCTGTCTTTCCTATCTAATTCTGTGTCTTGTGATCCATCCTTTGCATATTCTGGTATGTCATTCTTGATACCACGTCCAAAAAATACTGTAGCTGGGCACTGTCCTGTTGTTGCATGTGGGGTTGTTCTGTAGAGAAGTAGAAACTTGTTCAGCTCTTCTCTCCAATCTTTTCCTTCTGCGTGTGCACATTGATTTGCCTTTTTGAGTGATCTGTTGAATCTTTCAACTTCACCGTTGACCCATGGTGAATACGGTGTCACATTCCTTAGCTTTATCCCATGTTGTTTGAGGTACTGTTTGAATTCGTCTGAAATGAACTGTTTTCCATTGTCAGCAACTAATTTGTGCACGTAACCAAACATAGAAAATATCTTATCCAATGCTTTGATTACCGTCTTTGTGTTGATAGTTTTGACTTGTGCAACTACTGGATATCTTGATCTGTAGTCTATGAGTGCTATTAAGTAATCCTTTGTTGGATATGGTCCTTGAATGTCCAAAGCTACTGTGTGCCAATTTGTTGAGGGTATCTTTGTTACCTCAAGTGGTTCAAAATTGACTTTATTGGATCCTGTTACTTGACATGCATGGCAATGTTTTATCAAGTTTTCCACTTCTTGATCTATTCCTGGCCACCATACTTTTTCTCTAAGTAATCCTTTAGTTTTCACAATGCCTAAGTGATGTTGGTGTGCTGTGGCAAGTATTCTTTGTCTTAGATCTGTGGGAATTATTAGCTTTGTGCCTTTTAAAATAATATCATCTTTGATCCAGAGGTCTCTCCGGTTCAGAAAATATGGTTTGTATTGTGGACTTTTTGACCATTTCTCTGATTTGATCTGTTCTTTGATGTTTTTCAATATTTCATCATTTCTTGATATTTCTTGAATTTCCTCTATTGTGACTGATTTAGGAATAGCATCATAAACAATTGAGTTGATGAAATGTTCTGTATCATCACTTAACTTTTCTCCTGTAGCTGGTAAAGGTGAACGAGATAGTACATCAGATGCATTTGTGTGTCCTGGTTCAAATTGAACAGTGAACTTGTATGGTTGCATTTTTAGTAACCATCTTTGCAATCTTGGTGTAGGGCTTCCTCTTGCTGATAATAGTTTTTCAAGTGGTTTGTGGTCAGTTACTATTGTAAATTCTCTGTCATACAAATAGTAATGAAACTTCTGTGTTGACCAAAATGCGGCTAAGCCTTCTCTTTCTGTCTGAGAATATCTTTGTTCTGTTGGGCTTAATGCATGTGATGCATAAGCAACTGGCTTGAATTGTCCATCTTGTTGTTTTTGAGTAAGGATTGCTCCTAGTCCTACTGGTGAAGCATCTACAATAACTTCTGTGTCTGCATGAGGCTGGTAATAAGCCATTGTGCTTGCATTTGTAAGGCTTTCCTTTAACTTTGTGAAACTTGCTTGTTGTTCCTTGTTCCATGCAAATGTAGTTTCCTTTCTGGTGAGTTTCCTCAGAGGTTCCGTAAGTGTAGCATAGTCTTTGATGAAGTGTGAACAAAAGTTGACTAGACCTAGGAAACTTCTTACTTCTGTTGCATTTGTTGGGACTTTGGCATTGTTGACTGCATCCACTTTGGATTTATCTGGATGAATTCCTTTGTCTGTTAGACAATATCCTGCAAATGTGAGCTTTGTTGTTCCAAATACACATTTCTTTGGATTGATCTTTAAGTTTCTGGCATGCAATGCTTTGAATAGCGTGTCAAGACGCTCTGCCATTTCATCTCTACTCGATGACCATATCAGAATGTCATCTGATATTGACCTTGTGCCTGGGCAACCTGCAATGCTTTGCTCAATAACCTTCTGAAACTGCTCAAAGGCTGAACTGACTCCATACACAAGACGTTTTGATTGAAAACAACCTTCATGTGTTAGAAATGTTGTTATGTGCCTTGATTCCTCTGCTAACTCTAGTTGGTGGTACCCTTCTTTTAAATCAATCTTTGAAAAGTATTTTGCATTATGCAACTCTGGGAGGATTTCTTCAACTTTTGGAATCTGGTGTCTTTCTCTTACTATGGCTTCATTGGCTCTTCTCATATCTAAACATAATCTTATGGTTCCATT